CGCTTTCCCATATTCAAAGTATCGGGCGTAGTAAAAAGTTAATTAAATTCAATTAAAATGCGTCGCGAGTCTTCGATAAAATGTTATTCGCATTTCAAGGCTAATTCGACAGACGCTTTGACGCTTTGAAGAAGTGCCAACTTGTTCAAGGTTTTCTCAATGGAAATAGTGGACAAGAGGGCGTTGGCGGGGTATGGGCTGGGCAGACGTTACTCTGTCGATTTTTATGCGCTGCAAAGTTCATTTGTTCCGCAACATTAATGCCACATCTAAGCCTTAGTCGGCCACAAGGTGAAGTACACAGCGAGCCGAAGACATTGAGGCTTAGGCTCAGCAGCATTTGTAGCAGCAGCAGCAGCAGCTGTCCCATTTTGGTTGCATGTTGCATAAATACGAAATTAATACTAGACCCGAAAAATAATAATCATAAAAGCCGCTGGCAATGTAATAAAAATTATGTTGCTGCCACACAAAATGTCCAGACAGCTGGCACTTCATTGTGTGAGGCGACACCCACTCTGACTTCTTGCCACGCGAGTGGAGCTCGTGCGGCGTCAGCTGCGATGGCTGCCGCTTAATGAGTGAATAAATGAATGGCCAGCACGTTGCACGCTCCCCAACGACAAGGTGTCCCTCTGTGTGTGTGTGTGTGTGTGTTTGTGTGTTTGTGTGTGGCATGGGGCCATGCGGCCATGAAGCCACTAACAAAGCATTTAATGCTTTTATTTGCGGGTGGCAGGCCTGAAACTGACGACGTGGTTAAGGCCCTCCGCCCTCGACGTCGCCCTTCGCCCTCGCCTTGCCTGTGCAACATGTTGTTGCTCCAATTATGGTTTGACGCAGGCTCGCAAAGCTGCTGGCATGTCAAAAAAAAAAAAAAAGAAAACAGAGAGCGAAGGAATGGAAAACTGAAAACATCAACAACAAAATGGCAAAGAATTTAATTAAATTAAAGTTTCTCTGATTGAAAAGCTTTTACATATTAAATGGCTTCGGATTGTGTGGGCAGACCCTGTATAAAGTAATATGCTGAAGAAAATAATTAAAAATAAATATAAGAAAAATATAGGAAAAATGGAGAGAAATATAAAAATAAAATTGATATGCATGGAAAATATATGGAAAAGGAAAATGTAAAAAAGTAATCAATTTCATTTGCTGAAATTAAATTGAACTTAAAACACGTGCATTTTATGCAAAATGTATAGACCCTAGAGAAGATATAATTTTCTACTAATTTTAAACAGAGCTACAATCTATAAGAGTCAAACAAAAATACTTATTGATTTATTGATACCGAATGAGGAAACACTTACTATAAAGACGTTGATGATCTTTTTATATTTTTTTATATTTGTATTATATGTTATCAATTTTTGGAAAATCACACAATCTACGCGTGGAATATACAGACTCACAGACAACAAATTCAGTCTCTAGTTCTTATATCTTTGGAGATTGCTACGTTCAAACTCACGAATAAATATACAGACAGTCTCTACTCGTCACTCGGATGAGGAATATATATACGTTATGGGATCTACCACGTCTCCTTATGATACATACCATTATACCCCATTATACCACTGGATTCAGGGTATACAAAATTTCAATAATCTGAAAGTACTTCCCTACGGCATTAAGTCATCTAATAACATTTCACAGCTTGAATTTGTTTTTGACCGTGAGAATTAGCTGATCCAAAAAGCTTATAATTGGTCGTTTGATGTAACTATATTTCATATACATACATATATATTGAAATATATATGGAAATCGTTCTAACACACGTGTTGAATGGCTCACAGTTTGAATATAAATTAGACAATAACTCAATAAACGAGTCTTGCAATGCTTCAGATATACATAGGTACACTTATGCTATATGCTCTAAATATATGTATGTATATATCTTTGTCACATATCGGGCGACTTTCAGTTCTCAGCACGCTGATCGCAGGTCGCCTGGCCACACTCAATTGTGTGTTCATTACGAGCGAGTGCATCAGCTTTATTAGTTGGCCTGCTTTCGGTACGCTGCAAGTGGCACGAATGGGAGGCAACAGGCGGGCGCCGCAGCAATGGGCAATAAGAAGATGCCTCTCAAGAAACTACAGAAGAGCACCAGATGATGATGATGATGATGAGGATGGTGATGATGATGCCACAGAAATAGAAGTTGCGACTATGGCCAGCGATGTGGGCAGCAGGGATTGAAGCACTTCAAGGCGCTGTCTGACTTGTTGGCTTTGTTTAATGTCTGCCCAACGTTTGTTTAATTTGTCTACTTTGGCTCGTTTTCTTTTTGGGTCATGCAAAAAGGCATTCTTCAGCATACACTCGGCATACTCTGCATACATATACATATATATGTACAAGATTTTCTAGACAGTTTCATAAACGGCCGAGGCGCTACAATTTGATACAATATTTGCATTGTGTATCTATGAGGCTGTTCTGCGATAAGAAACGCTACCAGACCAGGCCAGAGCAGAGCAGAGCAGACCAACAGCTTATCAAAGCCTCTGGTGCCGGCTGCAAATCTAAGGCCCGAAAACGAAAACAAAAGACGACGAAGCGATGACGATAAAGAGGAAGAGTAAGAGTAAGAAGAAGATGAGAAAACAAATGTAGATAGTACCAGCCAGTTGGCACTCTTACGCGTAGCTCTCGCAGGTCCATAGGCAAAAGGGCCGTCTGCTATTGGCCATAAATTTGCTTTGTGGTCCAAATATAGTCAAGAGGCCTTGCCTCAAACACAGCCCAGAACCTTGTCTATCACGAGCAGCTGAAGTGCAGATAAGCAGGCAGGCAGTTGGGGCAGCTAATCAGCTAGTTGGCGTAGTGGTAAAAACTAGATCATTTATGAAGATCATTTCTAAGATATACGAAAAGAGAGAAATCATATAAACTTGAAAATGTACCAATATTTTTAATAAATCGAATGTAATGTAGTTAAAAAGTCTAATAGGTACAGTTCATGTTATATAGTATAAAATGCGTTTATAATATTTATTTTATTTGAAGTAAATAATTTACAAATTGAAGAAAGTCTATAAGAAATAGTCAATTAGCGATATTTAAGTTTAGGAATTATTAAAGATCTAGGAATATTTATTTATTATAGAACTGCTTTCTTCATACACATATATTTTTTTATATTATATATACATTATTATAGGCATATAATAAGATATTATCGACTTTTGTTCATTATTTTTGCTTTTGGTTGACTTGAATTTTTTTAAAACTTCAAAAGGGATTTGATTTTCTCGTTATCTACTTTCTATCTCTACCTTATATATGTATATGTTTTATCCCACATTCCAACAATTGCTTGTTATTCCAAGCCACTGCCCACTCAATGATTGGCTCGCCCTTTAGCAACTCATCGAATCAACATTACAAACTATTATTGTAGACAATTACAATTATTATTAACATTTGCCAAATGAAGCTTGCTTGCCTTAAGAACTGCAGTGCGCACAGACACACAGACAGACAGACAGACACACTCAACTGGACTACATAATAAAAATGGCTTTATGGCCATTGCTATTGATTCCAGCTGCTGGAGCTGTTGGCGCCCCCAGCAACAGTGGCTGGGAGCAGTTAGTTAGCTGCCTAATGTCGCTTGAGTGCTTATGTTGCGTCGTCCCGCTTAAATGTCTGCCGCATGCTCGTGCTCAGTCGTGGCGATGGTGCAACTTCCTTTTGGCCACACAAATCGTTGGCTATTTACAATGGCGTCCACCACTTGATGGTTACAGTTACACAATTCCTGTGCGCGCTGCTTGCCACGCCTCAGCCAGCAGAGGCTGGGACAGAGGCAGAGGCAGCAGCAGAGTTACATATGTATGCCAACTAAATAAATAGTAACGAGTACGTTCTCTGTGAGCATGTGTATATGTGTGTGTATGTAAGCACTCTCTACAGTGGCTGTCGGCGGCTACTTCATGTCGCGCACAATTGCCACTAATTTAACGCTGGTTTTTTCTTGCGCCTCTTTGCGCTGAGCTGCTTTCTTAAATCTCAAAGCTGACACTTTTATGCTGCTACTTACACACACATTACAGTCCACACACACACACACACACAGAGACAGAGAGCGGGAGAGAGAGACACTAATGCACACACTTAGATGGGGACTCTTGAGGGCATTACTAATCTGCGTCTTTTATAAAGCCCAAGTCAAAGCGAGGTCAGGCCATCATTGCGACTCGGGCGCGGACGCGGACTCGGACTCTGGAGTCGAACCGGCTTGACACTAAAGTATCTCTAATGAGACTTAAGCACTGTGCACTTCACACTCTACCCTCTGTAGTTGGACTTCTTTTCATTTCATTGCGTTTGTTTGGTTTTGTTTTTGTTTTTTGTTTTTGCACGATTTATGTGGCCAAATCTAATGCGCCCCCTGGCGGCACGCAGCTCAGACAGAACTGTTCTTGAAAAACAATCATCGAAGCAACAGCAGCAGCAGCAACAACAACAACAACAACAACAACAACAACAACAACAACATCAGCAAAGACTCTAAAAGTTAAATGCCTTCTCAACTATTATGATAGAAAGAGCAAGTGTCATATATACGTATGTATGCTTGTACATGTACTTGCTCTCGCTCTCTCCCATTTCCATTCCCATTCACATTCACTGTTTCGTCTATCGCACTCTCTGTTTGCATAATGCATTGTAAAGATCAAAATCAACTTGGGCCAGCCAACGATAAGAATCTCAAGTGCAAAGCAGCTAGCGAAGCGTTCGACAAAAACCAACACAAATGTATCTGTGAAATTGTTATTATTATTGTTGTTGTTGTTGTTGTTGCTGCTGTTGTATCTGCTGCTTGTGTTGGCTCGTTTACAGCCTTCTTTGCTGCCTCAGTAGTCGCTGCTGCCATTTGAATAAGTATTTTTCATTGAATTTCGTTGGCTTGTGGAAATTTTCAGCAGTCGCAAACACACAAACAGCATGAAAGAGTAGGAGAGAGGGAGAGAGCGGGCGGAGAGCGCGTGAGAGCAGTAGTAGTGAGAGCAACAGAGGAAAGACGAACAAGAAGAAGAAGTAGCAGAAAAAACAAAAGTAATTAAGATGCACGAGGCAAACGGCGGAAGCAAAAAGATGGCGGACTTAAATGTGGGCGGCTTGGTGCCGACTAGCCATTGAGGCGGGACAATAGTTATAGGCACGGCGTGTGGGCGGGGGGCTAGTTGTTGCGGTGCGCAGAGCCATATTGTCTCATACAGTTGTTATTGTCAGATCTACCCCTGGACGCTCGCTGGAAAAGCTCGCCATGTTGTTGCTGCTGCTGCTGCTGCTGCTGCTGCTGCCGTTTCACATGAACAATTCGTGGCGATAATTTATAAAATAAATGAAATGCACTTCATGGCGACTTGGCTGGCGACCTCCCCGGCAGATTCAAGTCGCTCCCAAAGCTGTTGCCGTAATTAATCTGTGTGCGCTGTGCGGTTTTGACGTGCTTTGAATAGTCATAGAACCAGCAGCAGCAGCCATTGAGTGAGAGAGCGCGGGAGATAGAAGGAGAGAGGGATATAGAGAACCGCCAACAATAATGGCTGGATGATCATCATCATCATCAGCATCAGCGGCAGCAGCAGCCACGTCTTTGTGTGGGCTGAGAATTGTGTGTGCCCCCCGACACAAAAGGCCAAACACACAAGTCCTACCCCCCTCCTCTCTTATACAAATGATTAGCAATAACTGATGCTACCTTCTCTTATACATATTTGCTTCTTATTCTTCTTTTATTATTCTTTTTTTTTTTGACAGACAGCATAGAATGAGTGGCTCGCAGAATGCACAGTGACAAGTCAAACAAAAGTGAAGAAAATAACAAATGAGCCACAACAACAACAGCAACAGCAAGAGGAACAGCAATAAAAGCAAAAGCGAAACGAACAACTTCAAATGAAATCAAAAGTGCAAATGACAACAAAAGCCAAAGCTGCGCTCAGGTTTGCCGAATACCAAAGACCAGCTGAAGACAGACAGAGAGAGAGAGAGGCCGAACAAGAAGTTCATGAAGAGGCGAAGACAAGAAGCGGTATAACAAGAACAGCTATGTGAAGCACGAAATGTAAATCATTTGCACAAAAGCACCAACAGCAAAAACCAACGGCGGACAATAATCAATTGAAGTGTCTGTCTCTCTATACGCTCTGCACTAACAATTGAAGCGGGTAGCATAGCAAGGGCGTGCTGTTCGTAACAGTCGATGGAGAGTTAAATAGGAGAAGAGCTGATAAATACGCTGGAAATGTTATATAATTTAAAGTGCTAAAATCAGAAAGTAACAAAATATATTTATTTATAGAAATTTGTATGCAATTATTTATTACTTAAGTATGAGTGGGTGAAAGAGAGGGAGAGAGAGTTAATTTTTCGGTGTGTTAATGAAAAATTAAACACTTTTTGCCTTTTTTCGGTCTGTTCGTTCGTTGATGAAGGGAGTGTGACTGAGGTGTTTGGTTAGTTACCAGTCAATGAGGGCGGCGCCAGCGGCGTGGCAGCGGCAGCGGCAGAGGCAGCGTCAGCAGCAGCAGCAGCAGCAACGTCAACCACATAAAGTGGAAGACAAGTGGCAGCATGGACAAGTGCCATAGAAATTACGTTTGTATATCTCGCTGTGTGTTTGTATATCTATACATGTATGTGTTTGTATGTATGGCTTGATATATATGTGAGGGTGTGTGCGAGTATTGCACAAGCAAAAACGAAAGAACGTAACGCAAAATGCACGAGACCAAAGCAAATCGGCAGCCAAAGAAGCCAACGAAGACAGCAGAGACATTGGCAGCGCAAAACGAAGACGAGGAAGAAGCAGAAGCAAAAGTATGAGCATGCCAAAGCGCAAAGGCAAAAAACCAAACTCAAGCACGCACTTCAGACGAAGAAGAGTCGGGACGGACTGATAGACAAATGGACAAACCATTTTGTTGTTGCTGCCGACGCCGTTGATTTTGCCATTGCTGTTGCTTCTGAATCTGCTGCCGCTGCGCTGCTGCCGTTGCTGCTGGCTGTCGTCGGCCATTGGGGGGACGTCAGGTGCGGAAATGCCATAACCATTGAGCTGATGACGTCCATTTTTTAGTTGTTGTGCACGTTCCGGCAGCGAGAATAACAACGGCGGCAACTGTCCAAAGTGGAGCGGCCCAAGAAGAAATCGTCGTAGTCCGTTCGTCTATCTGTCTGTCCAGCTGTCCGTCAGTTAGTAGTTGGCGTTGACAGTTCAAGTGTTTACCAGCAGCAGCAGCAGCCGCAGCTGCGAGTCAATTTTAATGCAATAATAAACTACGTAATTGGGATTTTAGTTATTTTAAATGTTTGTCTAGCTCATAAGCGCAAGAACTCAATTAAAATGGAATTTTCAATCAAACTTGAATATGATTATAGTGTATTATATTAAAGCAATAGCAATAAGTTAATGGAATTCATTTTGACTGGGATAAGAGTTTTCAATGGGCTAAAATATATTGTATATATTTATCAGTATATCACTAAGCTAAACGGTATTAATATAAGATGAAAGATGAACATGTTAAGATATATGTTCGTTAATATTTGTTGTTATTTTAGTTCAAGTTTCTTTTCTATTATTGTGTGAAGCCCTGAAAACTTAGAGAATATGAGCTAAGAATTCCGGATGCCTTTATATCGCTTAAGCATTATTATTCGAAAAAAATAAACAGTTTATAGAAATAGAAAGAGAGATTAAAGGCCTATCAAACTCTGCTATAAATTGAATGCAGTTTCGACTTATTTATTATGATAATCGTTGATCAAGCAAAAGCCGCTAAGCAACCTCATACCCTATTTAAGCACTGATTAACCAACACTTAATGCATTCACAACACTGACCACAACACTAAAATCGCCCACTAATCAACAATTGAAACTCATCTGAATGCTTCAAATGCATTCAAATATCATTTGAATAAGCAATTTAATTAAAAGCATAAATATAATAGATTTGCGAATCTAGTATATTCGCATCGCATTTACAACTGGCCACGCTAATGAAGTGGCTATAATGGCGTTAATTGTGCGAGGGTATTACAAAATTGGTTATTAAGCTGCCACTCAGATGGCAAATAAATAGCATTTGAAAAATGAACAATAAAACAATTAGCAATTGTAGTTTTTGAATATCAATAAAACATAACAGCAATTAAAATGTCACTGGCGAAAAATCACTAGACAGACACACACACACATGTAGAGTGAGAGAGAGAGAGAGAGAGGGGGGCACACACAGATACATTTGCTTGCACACTTCAAGATACGCATAGTAGTTGGAGATACTTATGAAGCGCACAGCGCTTGACATTGTAAAATCTATCTCTGTGTGCATGTGTGTGTTGTGTGTGTGTGAGAGCTTCTGTGTGCTTGTTTGTTTGCTTGTTTGTATTTGTGGCTGTGTATATGTTTAATTTAATTGCCAATGATACGCGTCATTCAAAGCGCAAAGCGATACATTACGATGCTATCTATGACGGAGTCAAAGGCAGGGTAAATACACATACATATGTATGTATACATATATACTACTTGAAGTACTTTTTTTAATACTCTATGGCTGCGACAAAGATCTTTATCACATAGTTTGAGCAGCGCTTAAAATAACTGAGTTAAATTATGTTAACTTTTTTCTTTGGAAATTTCCTATAAACTTTTTCAAGAAAAATCTTAAGATTTTCAAAGACTTGTTTTAAAAATCTATATACTACGTAAATATATATTTATATATGTGATAATATATTAGAAGCTTTTTCAGTGCATTTGCAGCTCGTCTTCATTTATTTATTTTTCCTCTTTAGATTTCTTTATGTATTTATATATTTGTTATTTTTAACGCGTTTAGCGCAAAACGATATTTCGATTGGGGGGCACATTTGATGGACTTTCCTTGAGCGTAGAACAACGCCATGCGCTGACTGACTGGCTGAGGGACAGAGAGGTGATGAGATAGATGGACAGACAGACGGAATGATTGGCTGACAGAATGACTGAGTGACAGCGCAAGACTAACTACTTCCCCGACTGGCTACTGGCTTTGAGTAGCCGCTAATTGTTAATTTACAATGATTTCAAACAGAAGATAAATTGTGAAATAATTCAAGAAATTTATAGAAAAATGTAGAGTGATGTATATTATGCATTATATATAGTATGTGCAAAAAAGTTATATCAAATTTATTCATAATGAGATATTTCATTATATTCACTAATAGTCAATTAATTGACAATACATTTTAAGTTTTAGATTAACAAGTTTTTAATGCGTTTAACTGATATTAAATAAATAAATAAATAAATAAATTAGATAAATCTTCCATAAAATAATATAATATAATATATATATTTAATGTAAAAAAATGTTGTGTATTTTTTGTATGCATACATATATATTTAATTAATATTAAATATATAAATAAATAAAAAAATTAGATAAATCTTCCATATAATAATATAATATAATTTATATTTAATGGTAATAATTTTTTTGTATTCTTTGTATACATATATATTTATCTAAAATAAATAAGAATAATCACAAATGAAATAAAAGAACGACTAGGAAGCAACACTACACTATATTCAGGGTATCTTATAGTCGTGCACATCCCTTGAGTTCACTTACATCACTTTTACTTCTATTCTCAATACTTTTACCGTTGCGCATTGCTTTTCACCTTGCGAAGTGAACAAATGAATCATTGTCTGCAGCAGAGATTGCGAAATAAGCTTTTAATGTGCGCATCTGTAGAGCCGAGCAACATTTAATTAAAGCTGCCAGCATTGGATTGGATTTGGGATTGGGATGGGGATGGGGATTGGGATGCGGATTTGATAGGTGGGTAGCTAGATGGGTAGATAGATTGGTTGGCTGACTGGCTGGCTGGTTGCAGTGAAGCGTTAAGTTTCGCATTGTTGATTGCTGTTTTGTGTGAGCTTCACTTGCCATTAGAAATGTGTCGCCATGGAGAGGAAGCGCTGCGCTGCTCTGCTCTGCTCTGCTCTGTTCTGCTGCTATCGTTGCCAGCCGATCTGGTGTTAAATTTAATTTATGGCAACGCTGCATGCTCTACATATTTTGCCATCGGTCTAGCTACATGTGTGTGTGTCGTCAATAGTCGAAGGTGTGCCCCCTGTTGAACGTTTGGGTCAAACTGTTGGCGTAGCTCCCAATCGCTAATTGTCATCGACACGGGCCTTTGTTGTTAACTGGAATATGGGAATGGCACTTGGAATTGTTGACTATATCTATGAGTGAGTCAAACGGGCAGCTGTTGCTGTTGTTGCTGCTGCTGCTGCTGAGTTGCTGCTGCTTCTGATCTCCAGTTGTCTGAGCTGCGTGTCTCATGCTATCTGACCAAAATTATCAGCGGCAACGGCGACGACCTCGTTTTTCACAGCTTCTTCAGCGTATTCAACTAGTCTCATCTTTGCTGCTGCTGTTGCCGTTGCTGCTGCTGCTGCTGTGCAGCGCGCATTTATTCAATTTATTTCTATTGCCTGGACGGTCTTCGTCTTTGGGCTTTGGCCAATTGTCATTGTACTAATTCCATTAAATGATGGCAGCGCCGACGCTTGCGTGCTTGTGTAATTGAAGAGCTCATCACAGAAAAGCAGCAACAGCAACAGCAGCAACAACAACTCGATGGATTGCTCGTTCCATGCTTCATTGAATGTACTACATAAGTACTAAGCACACACATACATACACAAATACACATATGTATGTATGTATGTATCGCCTGCTTTGCGTGCTCGAGTGTCAGTTTGTCTATTGAGACATTTGACGCCTTCGCTCGCTGTTATCAGAGTATTTGAAATTCTTTCAAATT